TGGGCAAAAAAAATCACGAATAATCGAGACTTACCGGCAGTGGTGCTCTCGGGTGCGGCAGTTTCTCCGGCGCGAGTCATGTTTTGATATTTTGCTCTGGTCAACCTGTAGAGAAAAGGATGATAATCACAGTGGTATAAAAATTGCATCGAACGGAGACCGGGAAGGGGCTCATCAGAGGCAAAAACAGAGGGAAGCCGCGGCGGCGCCGCTAGACTTCGGCGGGGTTTTTCGGCTGATTGGCCGATGGTTTGGCTCCGGTTTGGCCATAGGCAGATTCGGCATCGAAAAACGAGCCAATGGGAGAAAATTTACTTTGATTGGCGGTCAAAAAATTCTTCAGTGCGGCAGCGGGTGGCGGCGGCCGGCTCCTCCGGCATTTGGTTCTTCTTCTCCAACAAGGCACTGGTGGCTAGGGTTTGTGGTCGGGTGTGGGTGGGGTTATTTATACCCTTCCTCTTTTAATCTCAACCATCCATCAAGATTTAATTTGGACCGTCCGATCGCGATTTATTTGGGATTAAATCTTGGTCGTCCGTATACGTGAGATCTGGGCCGTCCGTGCACGCGGGAACGGATCTGGGCAGTCTGATCGCACGCACGCGGATCGCCCACGTGGCCCGTCCCGTGTCAGCGTTCCTTGCCACGCGACGTGTCCTAGTTGGCCGGGGCTGCTGACATGGTACAACTTTTTCAAATTGAGTTTTGACCTCTGGTTTTCGATTTTCTTTTCAAAAATACCCCCAGAATCTAAATTTTTACTCCTTTTTCCCAAAACCAATTTCAATTAAATCCAAAAAATAATTTTACCCTATTTTATCATTATTATTATTTTTATTTTCATTAAATTAAATTGAATTAAAATCTTATAAATTAAATATATAAAAAATTAAACTAAAATTCAAATACAAAAATAAAAATAATAATTTGGGTGTTACATATATCATTAAGTTCATCCTATTTTAGATTTAAAACTTCATACATGCACTTCCTCATACTTCGTCGATTATGAATTTTCATTCATTTTCAAATGATGAGTTAGTGAGTAACTTGTCTTTATGTCTATCTCTAATAGAGAGAAATAAGGAGAAAGAAAAAGATAGAACTAGGATGGGGCAAACATGTAAAAGCAAAATAATACCATAATATGATAACAATAGATCAAGTTTAGGATGACTTTAAACAAACTCAAATATAAACAATAATTTTAATCTCAAAATAGAACAACTTATTTTAAATTTGGAGTAGATTTGATAATTTCGAAATTTTTTGAACAGTTCGAGTCTTTTAAAACAAAATCGGTCAATCCCAATCTATCTTATCTAATCTTACCTCATTTCAATTTCTTTATTCTAGTCTAATATTTGTCATTCTTCACCTTTACGCCTAGAAATGATCATACATAAATTTAAGGTTAAGTTTGAATTTAAAACAACATTAAACTAAAAAAATAGAGTTATAATAAAGCTATAATAGATAATTACTTTAGTAGTTTAAGTTATATCACAAATTGGTTTTTTTTTTCTTCAATTTAATATTGAGAAAATGCAAACATGTTTACATATATATTTTTTCTCATAAAATTGAAATTTAACAGCAAAATCAAGTTCTCCTTTTGTCTTCCTAGATAATATACCAACAACAAAAAAAAGCCTAAAATCACAACCCTAATCCTTCTATTTATAATTTCAAAATTTTTTATTCATATCAATGATTTTTCGTAAAATTCTTTACATACACATTTTTAAATAATATAATTATTCTAATAAATAACGAATAAAATATCCAATAAATAAGGATATTTTTGTGATACTCAAATTTATATTCTTAATTTTCAATTTTTTTTTTCACTTATTTTAAACCTTTTGTTTTTCATCAATGGTTGTAGTGTTTTTAATTTAAACTTTTTATTTGGTAGTTTAATATGAAAGCAATTCAAAATCTATTTGATTTCCTTAATCTTTTCTTGATCATCATACTTTATTTCCAAATTTCCCAAATTAATTCTAGATTTTAAATCACTAATTTGAATTTTAAAACTATTTTATTCCCCACCTAAAATCCCTTTCATTGGAAAAAAAAAAAAAAAAAAAAGGAGAGAGAAACGGAACTCCGACGTTCTCTTATCCGGCAGCAGCTTATATATAATTTTTACGATCCTGATATTGCCACGTCAACAACATCGCACCATCGAGTGCCACGTGTAATCCTATCACTTTTCCCCACATAACGGCTCCTTCTTCCTCCCCTCTCTAAATTCAAGAGCGTTCTTCTCTCTCGTCGAATCCGAATCCCATCTCTAACAATATATAATCACGCTGTAAACAGAATTCGATTCCAGTCTTACTTCACTCAGAACTGGTACTGTATTATCCGGCCATTTCCCTTGCGCTTAATTCAGGTATCCTTTCTGGAATGTACTTTCTAGTGCTTGCTGCTTAATATCAGTGCTCTGTTTGGCGTGAATCTGGAGGAAAATGAAGGAAAATCTTTGAGCCAGTTCTTATATAGAAAGAATCTATTGGACTTCTTTTACCCCTTCTTTTTTATTGTGCGAGGCAAGAAAAGGGAAATTTGATTGATAAGTTTCCTACAGATTAAAGTGTATGCTATCTATATATTTGCATATATATATATATATGTACTAACGTGTCATTTTGCTTCAAATTCCCAATTCACTGTTCTATAGAAATCGCATGTCATGTAAGAAGATGACCTAGGCTTTAACATGTTTAATAGTGTGGAAAGTAGGGAATCCATGGTTTGAATGTTATTCTTTTTATTGGCAGAGCTGAGTAACCTTGTTTTGTTCCCTTGTGTTTTTTTTTTTTTCCTAATGGTCAAGATTCTGCTACGAAGTTAGGAGATGTCAGCCCGCTCTGTCGCTCACGTTGCGACTATGGAGACAGCATGTCAATTGTTGATACACGAACTACAGGTTCTCCTGGAATTCTATCTCGAATTTCTTTTTATATAAATCTTCCTCTGAAATCCGATCCCCTCCCAAGCCCCCACGTTCTTTATGTTTGTCTTCTCTTTTTCTGGACTCATTTTGCTCGGCTTAGAATTAATATGTTGCTGTGGATTCTTCAATCAGGAGTTGTGGCGAGAAATCGGAGAATCTGATGATGAAAGGGATGCAATGTTGCTTCAAATTGAACAGGAGTGTCTCGCAGTGTATGGGAGAAATGTAGATGATGCCAACGCGTACAAATTCCAGTTGCAGAAACAAATTGATGCTTGCAAAGTTGAAATTGAAGATATCAGTTCTTCAATGGGGGAGCAACACATGCATGTAAGTGTAATTATGATCTGATCTGAAGAAACAAATTAAACGTTTAAACCTCTTTATAAGTAATTACGAAATTTTGGGCTGTTTCACGGTTTTTCATAGCCATCCTTTTATTTTCAGTGTGATGTGGAAGTTGGGGGAAACTTGAAAGAGAAGCTCGAATCCATCAAGACCAGATTAGAGGACATTCGTGTCAGGAAGTTGGAGAGGAAGAACCAATTTGTCGAAGTTGAGAACCAGTTACAGAAAATATCAGTTCAGACTGGGAGGTCTACAGAAAATCTCTGGGAGGATTTAGCTGAAGAGAGGGACTTATCATTGAAAAAGCTGGAAGAATTACATGACCAGTTGGCTGATTTTCAAAACGAGAAGGTTTCCTAACCTCTTTCCTTTGCTCATTGATATGGATATGTAGCGAACCAAAGGGGTGATGACGGGTTTGGTTTTTCATGCTAAGAAGACATGATTATTCACTTGGAACTCACTATTTCCTTTTTCTTTGCGTAAAGTCTATTCTGGGATTCTTTTAACGGGTTTTTATCATTCATCACTTGCAGAGCAGCCGTCTGGAGCAGGTGCTAGACCACCTAAACACTTTAAATCCCTTCTGTGTGGTGCTCGGTATGGATTTCAAAGACACAATATGCAAGATACACCCGAGTTTGGATGAAAATGAAGAAATGAAGGACGTGAGCAATAAAACAATTGACAGCTTGGCTGCTAAAATACAGAGTTTGAGGAAGGTCAAGGCACACAGAATTCAGAGGGTAAGTATTCATGGACAGGACATATTGAAATTCCATTTTCTTTTCACTTGGCTCTTTTCACCATCTAGGTTGTACCTCTTACAGCTTCAAGATCTCGCCATTGACCTGGTGGAGCTGTGGAATTTGTTGAATACACCAACGGAGGAGCAGAAGATGTTTCAGAATGTTACCAGTAAAATTATTGCTTCAGAACCAGAAATTACTGAGCCTGACATCCTTTCAACAAACTTCCTCAGTCATGTACGTAATTTTAAAATTAAAGCCGCTCAAATGCGTGTTTGCTAAATTTGTTCTTGATTTCATCTGCTATAGTCGCGGAGGTCCAGGGGCAATTAACATATTTATAACTCTTTGTGGATTCTTCTCTCGGTGCAGGTTGAGCAGGAAGTGGCGAGGCTGGAACAGCTCAAGTCAGCTAAAATCAAGGAGGTGCTTCTGAAAAAGAAGAAGGAATTAGAAGAGACTTGCAGGAGAACTCATATGGTCACAGAAGCACTTACAAGAGCTGAATATTCCAGTGAAGCTATAGAATCTGGTAAAGATTTAGGATAAATTAGTATTTCCTGTAGCATTATCCTTTTCAATTTGAAGTTGGTTTATTATCGTTATCTCCTGGGCAAAGAAACATTCGCATTTTAAAAATGAAGTAATGAGGTACATCCCTTTTTTCTAGTAAGTCTTTAGAATAAATGGAAAGTTTAATTTACTTAACGCTATAAAACTTTTCCATGCCTGTTTGCTTATATAAATGTGTACTACACATGCAAGGATTTGTTTAACCCTAATATAAAAAATAATATTAAGTAATTTCTTTTAAATCTTCAAAATAATTACTTCTAGTGTTTTTTTTAGACCATTTGCCACGAATAACGTTAATGAAGAGCTAAAAGAGAAACTTGAAGCTCACACTTCATATTGGAGATTTACATTTTATGTAATAATGTCTTTTTCTTAGAATTCCAATTCCTATTTTCTAAGGACTAGCTCTTAATACAAGATTTTTATTATAACTAAAGCAATCAGTCAATCACTGTTCTGCAGGTGCCAAAGACCCCGAGTATTTGCTGGAACAAATTGAGCTGCAAATCGCAAAGGTAAAGGGGGAGGCTTTTAGCAGGAAAGAAGTGCTTGAGAAGGTGAACAAATGGTTAGCAGCACGTGAAGAAGAGTGTTGGCTGGAGGAATACAACAGGGTTGATCACCGTTTTACCGCCAAAGTATACTTGCCTTTTCTTATCCCTTGGTTCAGTCTATTAACTTTCTTTTAGAATTTCAGGACGACAATCGATATTATGCTGGAAAAGGTGCACATCTAACCTTGAAACGTGCTGAGAAAGCTCGTGCACTGGTCAATAAAATTCCAGGTATCATGCAAAAAAAAAAAACTCTTAACTTGATCTCTGATTCTCTTCAACAAACAAAGATTATATAGAAGTGAAAGATGTTAAACATCTCAGTCCGCTTTGTGGGGAATCTAATAAATTTTCAAGTAATCACTGGATGTACAGTAATATTATTTTAAAAGCAGCAAGAAGGGAGGTAGCTAAAAACAGATTGCTTTAGGAACGCCCTTAACATATTTAATTAGTCTATTAAATTATTTTTAACTTGGTTGTTCCTGGAGCAGTAATGGTGGAGGCGTTGACATCAAAAGTCACTGCTTGGGAAAAAGAAAAAGGATCCCAGTTCTTATATGATGGTGTAAGCATCTATATGCTAGATTTTCAATGCCATTACAATGTCATGCATCTCTGAGTTTTTATACCAGGTGTTTATTTTAACTTATATATGGATGGTATCATTCATCTAGGTACCACTTCTTTCTACGCTTGAAGCCTACAGCAGCTTACGGCAAGAGAAAGAGCTCGAGAGGCAAAGAGAGAGGGTATGGACACTTTTTCCAGTCATTTTACGAGGTTCAAATTCTTAATTGGCCGAATGCTTAAATTGTGGCAAATTTCAGGACCAGAAGAAACTTCAGGGTCAAATTATGGCAGAGCAGGAAGCCCTTTACGGGTCAAAGCCCAGTCCATCAAAAAGTGGAAGAAAGGTTTCCAGACCTTCAATAGGAGCAGTCATGAACAACAGGAAACTCTCGATCGGTGGAGCAATGCTTCAGAACTTGAAACCTGAAAAGGCTCCCCTTCATGCGCTCTCTATCAGGAAAGAAAATGGTTTGAATCAGAAAAGCAAATTGAGCTACAATCAGTCTGGAGGTATTGAAGCGCACTCTTCTGGTACATTTTTCTTTTCTCACTGCTTTATCTGTTAGTTATATGGGCTGTTTGTTTGCATTTATTTTCATAATTTATGCTAGGTTTGCTATTTAAAAATTGAGTGAAAAATATGTTCCATTCTTCTATTTTTATTTAATTTATAGATGTTGCCAACATATTAAAAATAAAAAATAAAATTTTATAGATAAATTTTATAGATAAAATTTTATAGAATAGTTTAAATAAAACAAATTAATTATTCTTAACAATATTATGAGATTGATTTTCACTTGTTACTAGTTTTAAACCTTTATAGGAGAAAAAAAAAATGTAATATAAGCATAAAATTGTAACAAAAAAACTTTTGAAATTTAATTGTAACGTGGCCAATTTTCCAAAAACTATAGTAATTTGCAGATTAAATATACATATATATATTATTGAACTTTTAAACTAATTTGAGCTAAACAAGTTATTCTTATTTATTTTTATAACTCAAAAAATTAGTTAAACCAAATACCCTCATAATATTATCTTTTACTTAAGTAACTATGTATTTAATAACTGTCCAAAAGAAATTTCTTTAAGATGGAATATTTAAGCATTAGAAAATTTTTTTAACTCTTAAATATTCTTATATTAGATAGTAAATTGATGGCATAATATTACTTATATCATATGAGTTGTTTTGAATTTTATCTTTTTATTTTAATTTTTTATGATGAGATGACGTTTTATTAGTGGTAAAATAAAAAATCTTCTAACTACTAGGATTTGAATGCTAAAGCAAATGATAACTATAAGTTGTCAACTTATGCTCTTTCGTATCTGAATAGGGTGTTAATCATAAGACGTCAGTTATTTTTTTTTTCTTACTAATAAAAAAGATAGCAATATCAAATAGCAAATATATCCGATTATAGAAATTGTTGTTAGTTATTTTGACTCTTTCATTTTAGCTATCTTAATACAAAGGTGATTAGAATAACAATAGTAATTTGAGTACATTTTAAGCATTTCTTTCTCAAAAGTTTAGTTTCTCTCTTTTTATTCAACTCTTTTTTCTTATTCATTTTTCCTATTTCTTTTTCCTCTCGTTTCTATTCTCCCTTTACTTTTCATGATCTTTTATTAATATACTATAAACTTTGTTAGAGTGGTGTTTTCAATCTTTTATTTATCATTAATTACAAAATTGTGAAAGTGTGTTTAACATCAATATGCACATATATTTAAACTTTAATAACTAATATATTAATAAGATATTAGAAAGGCACGTGATGCTACATATGTATTGTATTCATTTAAAATACATTATATATGTAATTGAATTACTCATGCTTAGTTTTAGGTGTGTGTATTTTTTTTTCCTCTATATTATACAGGAAGAAAGAGTTCAAATATTTTTGGACATGTTACAAAGAAACATTCATCTAGTGGTGCAAAGGATGGTGGCAAAATAAATTCGCCACAAATTCGAAAGCCTCTATCCCCTATTCCGTTGTCATTGGCATCCAATAATACCAACATCGCAAATTCCTCAAAAGATCACATAAAATCACAAAAGGAAACACTTCCCCTATGCAAGATACCAAATTTAGAACCTTTACTATCGAGTTTCAATAGCAAGGAAGAGGAAAACAACAAAAGCCCGAAGAAAATCCAAGCACCTACTACTTCAACTGTGGCCAGTGTTTCGATCCAGACAACTACTCCATCTTATGTGTCTTATACTACAAAATATCCACCAAAAAAATATTTAGAAGGAGTTGAATACTCGTTTGAAGAGGTAAGAGCTATTTTTTTACGTAAAATAATTGACTAGAAACTATTTTACGAGTATAATTTATTACACAATTTGAGGATCATAATGAGATATTATTTTTTATATAGATAAAATATTTTTATTATCTATTTTATTTTTTTGTTTTAGTTATGCATAATAAGGTAATCTAAGATTATATAGTTGATGTTTGGTGTTTTCTCAAGTGTGAAATTACAATAATCATTTTTACAATTTCATGGATTTATAACTTTACAACTTAAATCATAATTAAATTTTGATTAACATTTTATTATTTTTAAACACATTATATATTATTTACATGTTAGTATGTATTTTCACTCCTTAATTTAAAAAGTCAAAATATAGCTTCTCTATGATTTATGCTTAAATTAATAGACAAAAGACAAATCAGAAATAAGACTTTTTTAATTAACAAATTATATATGATGACAATTTTAAAATAATGGTTGAATATAAATATGTAATTTTAATGTGTTAATGAAACGACAAATAATTTTTTTTTAATTTGACTGTAATATGTAAAATTAAATTTTAGTTCAGACTAACTTTTTAATTTTTTAAAAAATAGATTAATATTTTTATATTAATTTAATATATTTAGAACATTATAAGAAAGTCTTCATATCTTATAAACTTTCATTACTTCTAATAACTAATTCATCGTACGTATTTAATTAGTTAACTATTAATCGGTATTATATGTATAAACATGGTACTAAAAAAAATAATAATAACGATAAGTATAAATATAATAATAAATAATATTTTATATAAAAAAAAATTACAATTTAAAACTATTCAAATAAATTACTATAAATTTTTATTAAAAGAAAGTCTATGTACCTTATAAATTTTAACTTTTTTAAAGTCATAATTCACATTACTTAATTAATGTTTTGAGTATTAATCTATATTATATCTACGAATATAGTATTAAAAAATAATGGTAACTACGAACATAATAATAAATAATAATTAGTATATCTAAATATTTTTTAATTTTATGCCAAATAAAAATAAAAATTATATTTATATTTTAATGTTTAATAAAAGAAAGAAAAAACCATTAAAAGGACGAAAAAAAAAGGTGTAGATTCCCACGCCTGACACTTGTTTCTGTAAGTAAAATAAAAGTAAAGGTGATGGACCCTCCGAAGAAGACATTGTATTTTGGATATTTGTCGACCACGGCTCTCCCTCTCTCTCTCTCTCTCATTAATAATTAAATTAAATTAAATACCATTTTCTTTAATTTTAAAATAATAATATCTGCTAATCATCAATTTTATCTACGGAGGATATTATGCAATCATTATATAAGATTGTGATCTATACATAATTTCTATTTTCTTTTTTTACATATATTTTTTTAAAAATTATTAAATTAATTTTTAAAATTTTCTTTATGTCAAAAGTTTAGTTTATTTTTATATTTAATTAAAAATTAAAATATTTAAATTATATTTGAGTATTTAAAAACAATATTAATTATTTTTAATTTAATTTAAATTATCTTTAACCCAAATACCTAATTATCTTCCACGTTTTGTTAGATCTTAAATCTTTTTGTGGATTTTTAAAATATGATCATTTAATTTCAGATATATAGGATTGAAGTAGAATAATTTAAACATAAATAGGTCAAAACTCCTCAAATTATCGAGTTTTAATTTATGATTTATCAATAGAATTTGAATTCTATTGTTACTTAAAATTAAAAATAATCTAGTATATATATATATATATACATATATGCTTCAGCACAAAATTATCCCTCTATATTTGTAGTGCGCAATCTTTTAGAGGATTGGTGCAGATAATCCATACTACCTGGCACCTGCTTCAACACGTGCGAAACCTTCCGACAAAGGAAAGTACATTATATACGTACAATTGTCGTTGGTCGGAGTATCCAATTACGGATAATTCACAGCTGTCAGCCACCTGACTTCTCACCCGCAGGTGACGCAACCATCCCTCTCTGCTCGAGTAAGACAGTGGCAGAATCGTTATTAATGTGCGGAGTGAAGGGCGTAAGTTAGTACCCCCTCCCCCCTGTCTTTTTTAATTTTCGAAAAGGACAAAAAGCAGGTCAGCGAAAACAAAAAGGTCGGTCCGCCAAACACAACCTTCGCAGCTTTAAATGGAAAAAACAAAAAATTATGTTTAAAAAAAAAAAAAATTAATTTTTTTCTTAAACAAAACTCTACCGTTTTGGTCAATTATTAAATTTTCAAATTTCAATTTCCTCACGGACGTGAAATTCACCTTTAACCCAATTTCATTTATCGGTCTTTGCAATTAATTAAATAATCATTTTCATATTATTTAAATGTTTTATATTTCAATTTCTTTATTTTTTTATTTTTTATTTTTTATTTTTGTTTTCATTTTCTTTTTCATCTCTCCTCACCAGTCTCTGTTCAGTCCAGGAAAAACCGGTAAGGTGTTTTCCGCTGTTTTCCCGACACTTGGGGACCGGTTCTCGTTTTTTCTCAGACAAATCATTTTCTCAGGAAACAAACAGGTTTCTTCTTTACTAACCGTACCTTGATTTTTTCTTTGAAACATCTCGTCTCTTTCAGTCAAATCAAAGAAACTTCTAGACTCTGGAGTATTGCTCGAGGTTTGCAAATGTGAAAAAGTTACACGACAGAGAAGTCATTGCTGCACCGTCAGGTTATGATCTTTAGGTTTCGAGAAAGATTTTGTCTGTCTGTTTGTTTGTTTGTTTGTTTTTTCTTTCTCTTTTCTAAACTTTGCTTTTTTTTTTTTTTTTTAAAGTTTGTTCGATCTATAGTCACGATTTGATTTTTAGCTGGTCTCTGTTTTTGTTTTTCTTTATCACATGATGCGTTTTTTTTAAATAAATATTTTTTGGTTCTGGTTGGAGTTGTCTCTGATTTTTACTGATTTTTTTTAAAGGTTTTAATGGAGTTTTGGTTTTACAAATTTCCGCTTTTAACAGACTGATGTTGAGTTCAAATATCACTACTTCAGATCTTTGCGGAATTCTTGTCGTTCTTTCTTCATTCTTCAAAGCATTCAACTGGATAGTAGGTTTACAGAGGCTGATGGAACTATTCATGATACATATTTCCTTATATCCATATATCTATGTTTAAGGAATGATGATTAGGATTTCTTTGTTCTTCCCTTAGCACTGATTTTTCTTATTGATATCTTTGTTGGCGGTCCCAGCATGAGTCTGTAACTTTGGTGGAGAACTGGATTCTGGGGGTTATACAATTTGAAAATTGATGCATGGAAGCAAGAGAAGGCATGAGCTCAGGAGTCACGGTGATAGGGGCAGAGGCCCCATCAGCCTATCATATGGCTCCACGGCCTGAAAATCCTAGCCAGTTTGCAGGATCACCGCCTGTAGATGCCTCACCTGTTAGTGTAGGATTGACAGGAACTCTGGGAAAGAAGAAGAGAGGTCGACCGCGGAAATATGGACCGGATGGGACAGTAGCCACGGCATTATCCCCCATGCCGATTTCATCTTCAGTCCCACCTGCTGGTGATTTCTCTGCAGGAAAGCGGGGAAGAGGGAAATTGAGTGGTTTCCAGAAGCAGCTCAAGAAATTGGGATTGGATATTTCTGGTAATGGACACGTCAAAGTGCCTCTTTGATTTGAAACTGTGGCTTGTTGCTTTGCTGTGTTTTGAGTTGATAAGGTTATGGTTTTGATTCACATGTTATAAACTATTCCTTGTTTCTGATTTAGATTGTGGAAAATCACCATAAAGTTGGGTTATTTAGTTGGATATGTTATAATTTTAGAATGAATTTCCCTGAAGTCGGATCAATGTGAAAGTTATGTTTAAAACAAATTCCAAAATTTTGGGAATTCATTTGCAAATTTCAACTATGAGAAGATGTAAATTAAATTAGAAGGTGATGAAAAATTGACATAAGATAAAACTTCTTGTGGAACTGGTTGGAATTTAAAATAGATTGTTTTAATTTTACATGAAATTTTATATGGGTTTATTTTTCTTTCATCATTTAAGGATTAAATTCTCTAGCTAAACTAAGTGTAAGTTTACAAAAAAATCCCACAAAAATTCTGAATTTGTTCCAAACATAGCCAAGAATCTTTCAATCAGTTATTCCATGCATGAAGTCAGCATTTGCTATATGCTTGCTAAAGTTTGTTTGGGGGCTTTTTATGGGATGCTCTTTTTTAGATTTGACAGTACAAAGCTGGTCCTTTGAATGAAAAAAGTTGGTCTTTTATGGGTTGGACTTAGAGAAAGGAATATTCTACTTACGAACATAAATGTGAATATACATATACACATCTATCTACATGGTAAAAAAATTTTACTTCTTGCTACCTAAGGATATGAAAAATGCTCCTTGATGACTTCAACTTAAGGGAACTTGCTAAAGGTGCTAGATTACTTGATATCTTTAGTTAATAAACATGAGTTAAAAATGGAAAGGTACTGGTAAAAATGGAACTTGCAGTTTACTTCCAAGAAGCCTTTAAAACAAGAATACATTTGCTTAATGCCTTATTCTGATTCAGAATTCTACTATGACAAGAAAGATTGGAATTATATGCATTTCAGATGTGAATTTTTTGACATTTTTGTTTCTCTAATGTTGTTTTTTAGGTGAGGGGGCTGCTAGTTCTGTTGGTACAAATTTTACTCCTCATGTTATCACTGTTAATGCTGGTGAGGTAAGGTTTACAATGTCAAACAAAGATATTAACTTCATCTTTTCAGGATTTTTGCTTGTGACTAAATATTTCAAAGGATTTTCACCCATTAAACCATAAAGGAGATTCTTTTAACTTCCTAAATTGCTAGACTAAAGTTGCAAAAGAATCCATGGGCACTACAAAATAGCTTATCCTGGGAGTTTTAGAGGTGTTTGGTTCTTATTATTATGTGCTTATAAGCAGTTTTAAGCATCTGTTACCAATGATCAGCCTTAAGCCTGAGAAAAATAAGTATTTCCCCTCTTAACTTTTATGAATTGGTTTAAAGTGCTTATTTTCTTAATATATTCAGTTACCTGTTTACACTCTTACCCTCTGATATATATATATATATATGTGCATGTGCATATATGCAATACAATATATAGTTATTTCTTGTAATAAGTATCTTTATTCAAATACATAACTGCATATTTTCTGAATTGGCACTTTAAAGCATTTTTAGTACTTCTTTTCCAGCAACCCCAAACACCCTCCTAATTTGTTACCTGTTCTTAAATTTTCATAATTATCAGTTAGATTTCACGTCTGCGATATTTAATGATTGCATGATATATCTGCATATGAACTTTAAGCATCTGCATTAGTGCTATGCTGCTTAAAAGAAGCTTTGCTTCCCATAATTAAATTGTGACTGTCCAATTTTGGCACTTTCTTTTGCACAAGATGCCCCTTCAGGCATAATAATTTGATATTGGTTTGACAATTTTAATCTGTTTTCTCTATGCGTTTTTCTTTTGGATGTTAAGGATGTTACCATGAAGATCATATCATTCTCTCAACAAGGACCTCGAGCTATTTGTATCCTGTCTGCTAATGGACTAATTTCTAATGTTACCCTCCGGCAGCCTGATTCTTCTGGTGGTACTTTGACATATGAGGTCTGGCTATTTATATTTCAGCTCACTGCAGATGAATTGGCTAAATGCTCAACTAAGGGCCTAATATTTGCAGAAATGTGGAATCGATGGTCCAACTTTTTATTATATCCAATCAATGGTTTAACTTACTCATTGTGTTCAATTAAGGACTTACATACTTGCACATTTAACACTGTTTATATTTTATCAAGGTGGCATGCCATGGTACGAAAAATTATCAATTACCATGATTTGTGTACATGCTATGCGAATCCTAATTGATGCATTACTTAATTTTGTATATTTTTATTTTTTAAAAGCTAAAGGAATGATGACTTAGCTAGGGCTGACATGTTAATTTTATTTGATGTAACATGCCATGTGTTGGAAATATTAATGGTGTTTAGTGTTTAGTTTCTACATGCCCTTAGTTGAATGCAGTTGAATCATCAGACCTTATTTTATGGAATAAGACGTTGGACCGTTAATTCCATGTTTGTGCAAATGCTTGGCCCTTAGCATATTTAACCAAAAGTTTTTAGATCTTTGTTGCTTTACATTTCATTTAGCATCTTAAATGTAGCTTCTAAAGCCTATTCCTTATTTTCTAGTATAGCTTCACTGATTTTATCATTATGAGGATTGTGGTACATCTCTTAAAAAGGTCTGCTCTGAAGTCTGCACAGCAAATAACTTCTGCTCTAGCAAAATCTGATATGAATTGGCAGAGATTTTGCTAGATGGAGACGGAATGTTGCTAAATCCTATTCATTTGTGTAGTCGTCGAGGAAGAATATGATTCCCTGCAGAAAAATTATAAACTATAATCCTAAGTTGAATAAAAGCAAGATGTTCAATTGGAAACAAATACAAGAATGTTGAGGAAGAATATGATTCCATGCAGAAAAGTTATAAACTATAATCCTAAGTTGAACAAAAGCAAGATGTTCAGTTGAAAACAAATACAAAATTTAGGCTGTTTGATACATAAAAATCTTTTATAGCTTTCATTTTCTAAATCCATTGTGTTTATACTTGTTTATTCATAAAAATATGTAAGAGTAGTATTTTGTATAATAATCAAGGTATGAAGGTAATAGTCTTTTTAGAAAACAATAAACCCTTTAACGTTTTCTATCATTCATTCTCTTTGTTGTTAACTAACTTATATGGTTTTGTGAATGGAACACATAAATTTACAAAATAAAAACTACAAAACATTTTCGTGTACCAAATGGAACCTAAGGTGTTCTAGGTTGGTACATCCCAAAACTAATTTGCAGCTTAAAATGCATTTTTGAGTTGGTAAACCGGAGCTTGATTGACAGATAATCACTTGAATCCATATGGGAACCATCTTTCATCATTATGGTACTTCATTATTATTAGTAAAAATTCTATTAGTTAATTAAGAGGAAGACATAATTGGAAATTTGACTGATAAGTCTTTTCTATTTGTTATAACTTGTAACCTTCTTATTTGGATTGAATTGTAAGTTTGAATGACAAGTCCTTTAGTTTAGTCCCCTTTTCATCTTGGTGAAGGATTTGACTTGTTCATTGAAAACTTGGGTTCATGGAAAAATACTTATTATGGAAATTGTCAGCAAATTTTCAAAGCTCACAAGGTCTGATGTAAATGCAGCAAACTTGGTAAAGAAGTTTGATTTATGGAAGAAGGAAATGATTATTGCATTGAAAGTGAGAATTTGGAGTAATGACTGAACATAATGCTCTTGGATGAATTATTTCAAAAAAAAAAAAAAACAATGCTCTTGGACAAAAGTCTAGTGGTTCAGGTCTCATGAATGAGCTATGGAAGCTGATACAGGAGATTATTTGAACACTCCAATAATGATTGGATAGCTGATATGATAATCATTAATGACTAACATGTTTTTGGTTGAATAAAGTGAAAGAGTAAGAGGGAATTGTAAAGACTCGTCCAAAGAAATTGGTACAAAGTTTCTTCTTGTTTCTCTATACTTCATTACTTGGAAAAGTTGGTCCTTAAGTTTTATTCTTTTTTCATCAAGAAAGGTCTCACATTCTTTATCTTCCTTTTTCATTCTGAGGAAGAATGGTAATGGATGTTGAAAGGTCAAGAAAGACAGAATCATTCCATAAAATTTCATTTGTGATTTGTGAAATTTCTAGAATCTCATAATATTTCTGATGTCTATAACACAACCTAAATCTTTTCCTTCTTGGGTAGCAATTGTTACTTGATTTGTTAGCAATTTGCAATTGCATTCATCCTGTGTTTTTATCTTCTTTTGAAATTTCCTGTCATTCTGTCCTCTACATCCCTGTCCTCACCTCTTCCGTCCTTTGAACTGTGAGCTGAAGAGATGTGAAGATTCATCAGTGTGTCTATTACTCTCCAGTGTAGGCTGTGACAACATAAGGTTCATATTGAAATGCATTATTATCATGTAAATATGTTGCACATAATGAGTATTTTTCAGGTGGTCTGTGCTGTTAAATGCAAGTGCAGTTATGTGCCTGCAAAACTTACTGCTTTTTGAGCAGTTAATATGGCTCTAACTTTAAGCACATTGAGTTCTGCTACTGTTTTAAGTTTTAATTGCATTTGAGAGAATCTGCTTTTGACTTTTTGTTGTTGTTGCTAGTGGAGTCGTTTTTTGAAGTACGTTCTTTTTCTGGATCATTAGTGCCTACAATTTTTTGTTGTCATTCCTTTTAGGGTCGTTTTGAAATACTTTCTTTATCTGGATCATTCATGCCCACTGAAAGCCAGGGAACGAGAAGCAGATCAGGTGGGATGAGTGTTTCTTTGGCTAGCCCTGATGGTCGTGTTGTAGGGGGAGGGGTTGCTGGACTTCTGATTGCTGCTAGCCCTGTGCAGGTAGGCAATCAAAGATTTCATTTATCATTATTGTAAACAGATTGCTATCCTGGGCATCACTGCTTCTTTGGATGGTTTTGCTGCTGTATTTTTATATTTGATCACAAGTAGGTTTTCCGGACTCAAGACTGTCAAGACCATCTGTATATGATATTATAAATTAAGCATGCTAATTGAAATAAGAAAAATAAAGAAAGCCCAGAGTGCTTAGGTGGCCTGCTTTATAAGAATCCGGATATATATAAATCTGGATTGACCATGAAAATTCTGCAAGTTGTTTCGTCCCCGGTCATAGTTCATATTTAGTGGTTTAAACAATAACATTGATGCATATTCTCCCTACTTCCCTAACTTTTGCTTTCAGGTTGTGATAGGCAGTTTTCTACCAAGTGACCACCAAGAGCAGAAACCCAAGAGACAAAAGATTGAATCAATACCTGCTACTGTTGTTTCAGTAACTACTGCACCAGCCTCCCTATCGGCTAACATGGAAGTAGAAGAGGGCATTGGCGGACTCACACAACAAAATTCCAGTGCCTCAAAGCAAAATATTGCTGCTTCTCCATCGTTCCACAGAGAAAGCTGGGCCACCATGCAGGAACCAAGAAATTCAACAACTGATATTAACATATCCCTTCCTGCAGGATAATTTGATTAGCATCAAGACTGCATCTCAAGGTGTCTTACTGACCATGATGGATCCCTGATCTTCCTATCCTACAGAGAGTTGGATTTTACTTTGCTTATATATTTACTAGCATAACTTATTGAACTAGTAGTATAGGATTGAGTAGGACTACAGCTTCAAATTTCCAGCTAGTTTCAGTAGTTGTCTTATCAGGCATGACATTCACTAGCTGGTTCCCGGCAGGACATCTGATTGTTAGCCTAGTTAAGTAGTGCAGTTATGAAATCAAATCCTTCAGATGTAGACAACTGCTTTGCACATCTTATAACTGAATTTTTTAATTTTTTTTCTATAGATTTTTCGAGAATTCCAGATTATTGGAAATGTTGTTGGATGGCTGAACAGTAGTTTAGAAATTTTTTATGATCTCTCTACTTTTGTTTTCTGATTAAGGATTAAAAACTGTTTTGATTAATGCGATTTGAACCTGTGATTTGGAAATAACCTGGGGAAGCGTGGGGACAACTGAAGCAAGGTTTATGGTCTTTGTACACTACTATGTTCCATCTTTCATGGTGCATATATTCATCCTAGCTTTCTGATGGCTATATTCACATATTCATGCATATATTATGTATGAGTGCTCTAGCTCCTTGCTGTACAGAGCACTCTGCAATTTAGTTTTCTTTATTAATCTTCTAGTAGTTTTTTTAAATACTATATGGAGTTCAACCCGGACTGGCCAGATATGAGGAAGAGAGGCTTGTGGTTATGGAATAGAAGATAACAAAAGATTGCAGGAAGTTTGAACTTACATAGTTATTTATAAGCACTAATTTTTTAGCTATTACATGCTAATACTAATGTAGTAGTAATATATACTGAAAAGAAGAAAAAAAAAAAAGACAGAGACTCGCATGCAAAGCCATGGTTGGTCAATGCAAAATGTCAATGTTAGTGGTTTTAGTACCTAGTCTAAGATACAATTACTCATTAAATTCTTGTACAACTTTCAAATAGTATACGACATATGTAAGGAGACATCCTTATCTGGTCTTTTAATTGCTCTTTTTAATGTTTATGTAATTGTATCACGGATGTTTGAACCAGCCACCTCTTTTGGGCTGCTATATGCAGTAGCTGCAAACATCACTTTCTTCACCCGTTTCTTCCTTCTCATTTCTAAACAGTATTAATGGGAAATTTCTCAGTATCTAGATGAACCATAAGCTAACGAGGCGCAAACTTGTTTAAACAATACATATCCTTGTCTTTACATATCTGAACGATGACACTTGTAATGGAGAAACAAAAGGAGGTTGGCTTTTGTGCTAAATTTTTCTAGTAAACCTTCTATATATGGTTAACTTTCGTTAACGAGATGTTCCTCCTCAATTGTCAACTGGGTAACGCAAAATGGGCACCAAAAATATATCCGAGCTGAGGAGAGAGCAAGAGATTTACCAGTCCTACCTACCTACAGAGTTTCACAAGATTGCCTATACTTGCGAATCTCCCATGTGTTTTAAATATCTGTTGATTTTATTACCTTTTCTTCCTTCCAAGTCTGTGTTACTAAGCATCACAGCCTCCTTTCCTACCAGCTCATAGTTATGGTCAAATCTAGTTGTTGGCTGATGTTCTTGATATTTAACCTCATTATTATTTTCGTTTTTGGGAGCTCAAAGCCATTTTCCGGTAACTCTGGCATGTTATTTCCTCTTTTGCCTTCATATAATGCTAAAGCAAGAAAATATGAATAAGGTGTTGACAAGTACCATGGTTACGATGGTTATGAAGAATATAATGACAATGGCATTGACACTAAGGGTGTTGACATTTAAGGTGAAAATGATGACTATGAGTTGGAGAAGAGAGTGGAGGAATTCATAGCCAAGGTGAATAGCAAATGGCTAGTGGAGCTATTTATTGAAAGGTTTCACTAATTACTTTCATTGAGTTACAAGTGAAGAGTTTTGTTTAACTAGTTTTTTCAATCAAGTTTTCGAATTCACCTACTTTTATTTGAAATATTTAATAGATTTCATCCATATACATGATTGAAATGATGATGGTTTAATATGTAACATCTCTTTATTTATGGGTTTGTTTGTAAGTCTTTGATGGTTCTGGTTTCGAGGAAAGGAGAAAACTACGGTTGGATTTTATTGATGCTCTAGTTGGATATGTATAATGAGGTCAAGTCATGAATATGCGAATTTGGTCCATGTAAATATTGTATATTGGATGTATATATTGCTTTTTTTTTTGCTATAATAAAAAGATGAAAAAATAATATAAAATCTAAACACGAACTAGACGATACTAAACAATGTCATACTAATTTAAGTATAAAAACTAGTCAAGCTACTCATGAGCATGAGCTAAGATTGTAAAACTAACGAGATTCTCATGAGCCCGAATAACTAGATGATTAGCACAAGAGTTGTCTTTTCTGTGAGTGTGGAAAATTTAAATATCTCAATAAAGAGTGAACATGTCTCTCAATTGCCTCTTTAAATAAGTAGAAGAACTATGTCAAGTATTTATCTAATGAAGAAGTTGTTTGACATAAAGGAAGTTAGCTTCAACAATTAATTTACGAATACCATTACTCAAAATAAGGTTCAGACTCTAAAGGACACCATAGACTTCAACTTTCATCACATGGTTTGTACCTAGATTACTCATGAAATCACACACTCAACAACCCATATTGTATCTAATAAGATCCTCAACAATAGTAGGGTTAGGGTTGCCATGAGTAGAACCATCCGTATTAAGCTTGAACCATTTAGAAGGTGGAGCCCTTCAACCAACCTATGGGGACCTAAAGGGGTTCTCCATCACTTGTTGATTGTGGGACCCAAGATAAGCATTTTGGAACTCCAATACAACTGAATAAAACCTGAGCTAGAAATAGTAAATTAATTTGACTCACTCTTAAAAAATGTGATCATTTATTTTCTTCCACAGGATCCACGTTGTAGTGAGAAAGATTGCTTTCTAGTTCACGATAATATGGAAGCTAACATTCGTTTTTTAGTTCCATACCAACCACCTATCAAAAGGAAAAAATAAAAAAAATGTTAGAATACCAAACATCAATTAACTCAGACCATATCTATCTTGCCATGAGACAACACTGAGTGGGTTGTAGTGAGCTTTTTGTGTGGTCACTACATTTTGGAAAATTATCATAATAAACAATGTGTCATTATTTTTTTTCC